ATATGGATTCAGCTCAGGTGTCCAGGTAGTTGGCCACCAAGTGTGTGGTGCAGGCTCTCACCTACAGTCCTAGACAGGCATGGGTGACTGATGTAGGCACAGGCATCCAGCTGCAGCAGGGGGTCACACACTGAGCAAGGCAGGGGGCCGACAGCCGCCCCTGAGTGTCCGGGAGGAAAGCATGTCCTTGTTCCCTAGAGCACATAGGTGGGTGGGTTTTGCAGCCAGAGTATGAGCACCCAATGCTGTTGGCTGTAAGGACTGGGGGGCACCACTTATTCTTGGGCCCCTGTCGCTGGTGGCTAGGTAGTGTGGGTGGAGCCACCAGTCCTCAGGCCCCTGACGTGGGTAGGTGAGGACCCTGCTCAATGGGTAGAGAAGTGTCAAATGTCCCGAACCTGCCACTTCACAGCTGAAACAGTTGAATTTAGACTTCAGGCATATAACCTGTTGTACTGAGTTAATGAGGGCCTACACTGTTGAAATGGGCCCACACAAGTCTCTGCAGGGGGAAAGGCACTCAAAGTCCATGGATCCCTTATGCCTGTGCCCAGGCAAAGGAGCTGTGCCTACCCTGAGCTCCTGGCTTAGGACAGCCGTCAGATTATTTTTTCCCCGTTTGTTAATTTGTTCCCTTTCCGAGGCCAGGAGAATGGCTCAGGGTGTGTGACGGGTCCTACTTCCAGCCCAGGGGACTTGGCAATCACTGAAGCTGTCCCGGACCCTGTACAGAGCGGGGAGCAGGGAGGTAAATGGGAGAGAGGTTTTTCCCAAAGGGGGGTGTTTTTGATCCATGTAGTAGGCCAGACGCAAGTACTTATCTTTTGCTGATCAAGGGCTGCTTCTCACTGGTTCTGGATGGCTGAGTAAACTCTCTGCTGCTGGGTCTCTCCCATGTGAAAACGCCTCCCGAGTGCCACTGCTTGCCTCACTGTGCACCAGGAGCTGATCCGGCCTGAAGGGCTCCGGCTCCCACTTGGTTAGGTTTGGCAACTCTTCACTGCTTCCAAACTGTCTTTCCCTCCCCCTGCCACTCAGTCCAATTCCTCACCTTTGGCTTTGATGTTCAGGGCTCCTAGACTGTCATATATAATCGATTAACTTGTTTTTTCAAGTCTTTGTTGTAAGAGGGACCGCCAGAAGCGTCTGACTACTCTGCCGTCTTGGCCCCACCTCCTTGAGGCCTTTTTTTGAGATTTTTCTTTTTTAATGACTCCAGTGGAACTTCCTTAGCTCTCTCTTTCGCTGGTTCTCTCTGGTAGTAGCTGGCCTAATTTACCTTTTTACCTTGTTTAGCTTATTGGTCTCATTGGAGCTACCAGCCTTCTCTTAATTGCTCACTACCAAATTTTCACTGGTTTTGAGACTGCCTTTAAGCTTTAACTTCCCCATACTCTGTTCTGACTAATTTCAGTTCCTTTGGGGGAAAGTTTCAGAGCTCTCTGCTCTTATTGCCTCCCTCCTTCCTGGGCAAAATCTCTGAGCCACTGCTCTTGAGCTGGAAGGCACAGATAGTGGTATGGTTCTCTTTGAGTGATATCGCAGCATTACGAACAGGATGCTGGGTGGGAGTGGTAGCCTCATGTCTTCTTGACCAGCCTCTCCTGGCATGGAGCTACTAGTGAACTGGGTGAGGGCAAATGAGGTCCCAGTATTCTCAGCCTGCTATGCATAGGGTAGAGCCTCTATCTTGCGTATGGGTACTGGGTGGAGAAAGGGAGCCCCTGGCCTCTCAGCTGCACGAGTTTGGAATTTAGCCTGTGCATTGGAGCTTGGTGATGGGCGGCAGAGTAATAAGAAACGCTGGGGACCTGCTCCTCCCAGAGAGATCCTGTATCCCTTGACTGGGAGTTTGAGGGGAGAGAAAATCTTGTCTTCTTGGCCACACATGCCTGGAGTGAATAATTTGCCACGCTTAGCTGGGGAAGGGAGGGGTGGGTCATGGGATGCTCACTATTGTTACTGAGATTTAGTAGATTTTCTTGAATAAATTTTTCTTCATTGGCTGTACTCTCTTAGGTCAATTTTCAGAGACTTTAATTAAAAAAATTTTTTTCTTCAGTTATGTTTGTTTTCCTGGGAGCTGGTTTGTGGAGCTCCTCATGTCACCATTTTTCTTAGCAATTCTCTCGGCCCCTACGATTCTTTACTTTTTTAAATTCTATTGTAGTTTAGGTGAAAGTTTACAGCTCAAATTATTTTCTCATTCAAAAATTTATACAATATTGTTTTGTGACATCAGTTGTAATCCCTGCAATGTGACAGTGCTCTCCCCCTTTGCATCCCAGGTTTCCCGTGTCCATTCGTCCAGTTCCTGTCCCTTCCTGCCTTCTTGTCTTGCTTTTGGGCAGGAGTTGCCCATTTGGTCTCATATATTTGATTGAACTAAGAAGCACGCTCCTCCTATGATTCTTGCCTCCTGGAATTCACACCCTTTTGTAGTTTCCTCTCACAGTAAACATGGCTGACCTGTGTAACCATTAAGATATTGCAGAAATGACAGACCGTGACTTCCAAAGCTAGGTCATAAAATACATTGCAGCTTCTACCTTGCTTCCTCTTCTTGGATTACTTGCTCTAGGGGAAGCCAGCTTTCACATAATGAGGACACTGAAGTAGCACTATGGAAAGGTCTGCATGGCAAGGGCCTGAGGCCTCTTGCCAACAACCAGCATGAATTTGCCATGCAGGTGAATGAGCTCTCTTGGAAGTGGACCCTCCAGCCCATCGAACTCTCAGATGATTACAGCAGCAGCCAACATCTTGACTGTAACCACATGGCAGACTCCAAGCCAGAAATACCTGACTAAGCCACTTTCAGATTCCTGACCCACAAAACCATGTGACATAATGAATGCTTATTATTTTGAGCTGTTAAATTTGGAGGTAATTTGTTATATAGCAATAGATAATACCGTGATCTTTGCACGACTCTTGCCTTTTATGCCCTTCAGCTTCTTCATCTGAAAAACAATGTTGTTGGACTAGATCAAGGGCTTCCCCTTGTGGTTTTCAACTGTCTTTTACATATAAAACCAAAAAAACAAACCCATTGTCGTCGAGTCGATTCTGACTCATAGTGACTCCATAGGACAGAGTAGAACTACCCCACAGAGTTTCCAAGGAGCAGCTGGCAAATTCGAACTGCTGACCCTTTTGGTTAGCAGCTGAGCTCTTAATCACTGCACCACCAGGGCTCCAGCCTTCATACATATGTATCCCTAAACCATATCCATGAGGCCCTGGGTGGCGCAAACAGTTAAGTGCTTAATTACCAGCTGAAAAGTTGGCGGTTTGAACCCATCTAGAGGTGCCTCAGATGACGGGCCTGGTGACCTGCTTCTGAAAGGTCACAGCCTTGAAAAGTCTATGGAGCAGTTCAATGCTGCACACATGCGGTTGTCATGAGATGGAATCCACTTTGTGGCAACTAACAATGACAACATGATTTCACAGCAATGGCTGACAGGTCACTGTATGGGGCGAACAAGAGGCCCCTTGACCTCCCCATTCCAACCAGAGATGCTCCACTTTTATCTCTTTTATAAACTGGACTTCCACATAAGACTTGATTTGAATAAAGGGTCTGTTTATTGTTGTCCTTATTGTTACATTTTTTGACATTCTGTGATTTTTTTTCAATCTTACATGCTTATTTTAGTTTAGCATTCCATTTTAAAATAGACATTCCATAATGCCCTATATTTTCCAAGGCCCTATGTTTCCAGTAAAAGGAGCCCGGGTGGCGCAATGGTTAACTGTTCGGCTGCTAATCAAAAGGTTGGTGGTTCGAACCCACCAGCTGTCCATGGAGAAAAGACCTGGAGATCTGCTCCCATAAAGATTTCAGCCTAGGAAACCCTATGGGGCAGTTCTGCTCTGTCCTATAGGGTCGCTATGAGTTGGAATCGACTGGATGGCACACAACAACAACATTTCCAGTGCCCATGAGAGTAGGGAATTAGGAATGCTACGTAACAATCCTCTAATTGTCCAGAGGGGAAACTCAGACCCAGAGAGGGAAAGGGACAACTGCAAAGTTACATAGTATGTTAGCGATCAAATGGGGAATGGAATACATGTCTCCTGACTCCCCAGCGTGGATTATCAGTACTAATGAAATGGAACTATAATAAAGTATTTTTAAAAACAAGTCTTCAAAAAGTAAAGGACAGAACTTTTTGATCTGGTGCAGGGAGGAAAAATATAAGGCAGTGCAGAAAAGACTCTCAGAACATGCTGTTTTATAGGAAGCTGGCTTGCTTATAAAAATAAATCACACTGAAGCAGAGATTAGTATTGTAAATCAAACATGATTTACAATAGAGTGTCTGGCACATGTTCGATGGCATACTTAGCCACTGTTGTGCGTTGTGTCAATCAGGGCATTCACCAAGCACATACATGGTGCTAGGCAGAGCTGGGGCCTGGGACACAGAGGTGATCACACCTTTCATGGAAGCTGTCTTGAGGGTATTTGGAGGGGTTCAATTCTCCACTTACTACTCCAGATCGGAAACCACACATTGTTAAGCCTCTGGAACAGATACAGCTTATAGATAAACTTTAATATACATATTTTGGCCTTACTCGTGTTAAATTTTTTTGTTAGTTAGTTGCCAATATAGAAAAGTAAGTAGATTTTACATAAAATCTAGGTTTCTGGTTTCTTCAATAACTGGTAAATATGGCGACAGTGGGCTTGTGCTGCTGTGTGGCAACCATCACTGGGGCTGAGTAGTGGCCCTCCTATAGGCGGGGCCTAAGCACTCCAGTTTCCTACAGTCCATCCTGCCCCACCCCACTCTGTTTCCTCTCTGAGGCCACATGCTAGCTGCCAATTATCACTATGCTTGTGCTGCTTATGGCATTTTTCTTATACCCCACTTCACCCATTTATTTACCCACCGACCCCTGGAGGAATCTAATTTTGAGACCCCTGATGTGACTGCTTCCCCGCTGCCTCCCAGCTCAGCAGGCAAGGCCCACCCAGGACTCACTGGAGGCATGGCGCTTGACTTTGACCTGTGGATCCACTCGATGGGACTTCTCACTGCAGGAGGAGGCATGGCGCTTCACTTGGGCCCCAGTGGGATGCTCATCGGGCTCCTTGTCCTGGAGGCGGGAGATGGGGAGGAAGGTGAAGGGCAAGTAGGCTCAGACTCACCAATGGGGGAGTGGATTCTGGTCCTTGTTGGGTAGATGAGCATTGCAGGACCTCTGAGATCTTGGTCTTACGTCTTTAGATTTGTGTAGCACTCAACAGTTTATAAACCACTTTTACTAGCAGTATATGACTTGATACTCATACTTTCCTATGGGGGCAGCAGAAGGTAACCCTAAACCAGAGCGTCTGCTGGGAGGAATATTAAAAACAACAAAAAAAACCCAGTTGCCTTTGAGTCGATTCTGACTGATGGCCACCCCACGTGGGTCAGAGGAGGACTATGCTCCACAGGGTTTACAATGGCTGATTTTTCGGAAGTAGAGCTCCAGGCCTTTGTCCTGAGGCACTCCTGGGTAGACTTGTAACTTTCTGGTTAGCAGTCAAGCGTGTTAACTGTTTGCACCACCCAGGACTCCCAGAGGAAAATGAGAAAGTCTCAAAAGACTGTGGATTTATTATAGAAGTTTTTTGGTCCTCACATCCTTTGGAAGTATCCCTAAAATTTTCTAAATGGCTAATATAGTGTCTTCCCTAAAAAAAAAAAAAAAGAAGCCCTAGATGAGATCAGCCATGATAGAAGTGGTACAGCTTAATAGACTGGCTATACATTTGTGCATGAAGAATATTAAGAACACTCAAATTCCAGTCAAAGCTCAGGAAACAGTGGGTGGCATCTAATATACTGCAGTATAATACAGTACAATGTAACATAACAAGGCTACTGACAACAATACTATTTACTCCTCTGTGTGAGACCTTCCAGTGTCCAGGCACTGTGCTAAATTCTTTACATAAAGTATTTCATTTCCTTCTTGCAACAGTCCTGGAAAGCAGGTTTTATCTTACCCATTTGGAGCCAGGAAGTGAGGCCCAGAGAGCTGAAGCACAAGGTAACACAGATTCAGCCCTGGGTCTGCCTCCAAAGTTCACATCCTTTAAGCACTAAGTTGTCTTGCTACCAAACTCTGCAATTGAGACAAATCTTAAACTGCATCCACTAGTTCGTGTGAATCTGTAGAAAGACCATGTAAATAGGAGAGGGGTGGCAGAAGAAGTTGCTAGAAAAAGGTATAGTCCTAGAAGTGAGAGCTCAGAGTGTTTATCCAGCAACATCCAAGGCAGGGGTCTTGGCCTGCACGCACATCTGGTTTCTTGGCGGTTTGATCCCCTCTCTCCCCTCTGGCTCAGAGGCCTGACCCACCCACCAGCGTGCGATCTGACTGTGGCTTCTCCTCTGGCTGTCCCATGGAGGGGTGGGGGTAGGAGGGAAGGAAAGCACAGGTCATGCTGCCAGGAGCACCCCAGGTCATGTGATGGCTACAGAGGCCTCTCTGTAAATTAACCAACTGGCATCTCCTTGGTTTAGCGAGCCAGACAGGGAGACTCTGTCCTCTGAGCTAAAGCCCAGATTGTGGATATCACTAGGTAGAGGCTTGTGGGGGCGGCTGCCCAGTCAGCCTCCCCCAGCCATCTCCGAATCAGCAGCATCCGTTCACAGACCAATAAACAGAGGTGTGGAGTCCACACACCATGATCAAACTAGAGATGGTAACTCCTATTTCTGTAGTACTTTGCATTTTCTGGAGTCCCTGGGTGGTTCAATTGGTTAATATGCTTGGCTGCTAACCAAAAGGTTAGAAGTTTGAGGCTACCACTCCAACAAATTTGAAAACCTAAAGGAAATGGACAAATTTCTAGAAATGCACTACCTACCTAAACTAACATAAACTGAGGTCAAAAACCTGAACAGACTTATAACAAGAGAAGAGATTGAAAAGGTAATAAAAAAAAAAAAACTCCCAATAAAAAGAAGCCCTGGCCCAAATGGCTTCACTGGAGAATTCTACTAAACGTTCACAGAAGAGCTTACACCAGTACTACTCAAACTATTTCAGAACATAAAAAAGGAAGGGATACTCCCAAATTCATTCCATGAAGCCAGCATAACCCTGATACCAAAACCAGGCAAAGACACCACAAAAAAAGAAAATTACAGACCAGTATCTCTCAGGAATATAGATGCAAAAATTCTCAACAAAATTCTAACCAACAGAATTCAGCATCATATAAAAAAAGAAGTTTGAGGCCACCCACAGGTGCCTTAGAAGAAAGGCCTGGTGATCTACTTCCAAAAAATCAGCCACTGAAAGCCCTATGGAGCACAGTTCTACTCTGACACACATGGGGTTGCCATTAGTGTCACCTTGACAGCAACTGTTTGCTTTGTTGTTGTTGTTGTTGTTGTTTTTTTTTTGCAGTATATAGAGCCCTTTCTTCCTCCTGGGAGTCCTTGTGTGGTGCAAACGGTTAAGCACTCAGCTACTAATTGAAGGCTGGTGGTTTGAGTTCATCCAGAGGCACCACAGAGGAAAGGCCTGGAGATCTATTTGCAAAAGATCAGCTGTAGTAAACCCTACGGAGCACACGTGGGGTTGCAATGGGTCAGAATCAACTTGACTGCAACTGGTTTTTCTTCTTCCTGATCTGGGGCTCTTTCCACTGCCTTCTGTGTCAGGGATTCCTAGGTCCTGTGCCACTATCTGTTGTAAGAAAGGGCTCCCCTCTAGCTGTTAAATGAAAGGGATCTCTCTGAGGCAAAGGAAAAAAGAAGGCGGCAAAGGAAAGAGAGAGGGAGAGCTTATTAACTTATTAGTGACCTTTACCATATTCCTGGCAGCCCCCAGGGACTGTACCTGCATCTTTTCATAAGGAACATCATCATAGACGCGGGGCTCAGGCCACTGATTCTGGCAGGAACGTGCATATCTAGAAAATAAACAATACAATGATGATGATGACACTTTGCAGTACAGTGTTTTCCTCTCCATTGTCTCATTTCAATCTGGCAGTAGCTCTTAAGAGAGGTAGGAAGATTAGTAACAGCAGCCACGTCAGGGAGCATTGTGCCATGAGCAGTGTTAAGGGCTTTATAGGCACAGGGACTCAAAGATGCTCACAGTAACCCCTGGAGGCAGGTAATTCATCACCACCTGTAAACGAGAGAACAGGAGCTAAGACCGCCAGTAACCAGTCTAAACTTTCACAGCTGGTAGTGACAGAGATGGGACCGGACCCTTGCTCTTCTAATGCCGAACTCCATGTACCAGCCACATGCCTGCCAGGATGCCCAAGCGCGTGAGAATTTAAGGTCCCCATGGCATAAGGGCAGAGCCCAGCCACGACTAAAGGGCATCTCCACCCTTGCTCCTTCCATCCACAGCTTCCTCCTGACACTGGGCCAATCCCCCCAGCTGGCCCACTCTTTGCTGAAAACCTGTTTGGGCTTCCCAAGGAAGCAGAGTCTTCTCCAGCTCTTCCTCCCTTTCCTCCCAGTGCCCAAGCTGGACTCCAACCCTCTGAGAGGCAGCAGAGAGGGGAAAGGTCCTGGGCAGCTGTGGGCCAGGCAGTGCAGAGCCTTACAGGAAGGAATTGCGCCCAGCACTGACGATGCTGGTTAAGGTCTCCACATCCACGTAGTCATAGTGCAGCGCCTCAGGGGTGACATGGGAGCCCATCTCCACCAGCAGCAGGCCAAGCCAGCGGCCCATGTCCTCTGAGCAGCTTGCCTGAGAGAGAGGAGGCACAGAGGGGTTCACGTCAGCATTGTCAGTGCCTCTGGTGACCTGGTCACTTCAGCCCAACCCACAGATGTTTATAAGTACCTGTTACATACCCAATACTTAGGGATCCAAGAGGGATAAGACTAGAACACAACTCCAGAAATCCAGGTGGCTTTCTCCCTCTCTCTAGTCAAGTCTCTGCTCAAACGTCACCTCCTCAGAGAGGCCCTCCTTTACTACCTCTCTCAAGTAGCACGCCTTCTCTATCCTCAGGACCTTCCCAACCACTCAGATGTGAAAACAACATTTAGGTGTTCACTGAAGTTTTTTACATTTGCTTAAAAAATTTTTTTTTATTGTGCTAAATACACAGGTAGCAAAACATTTGCCATTTCAACCATCTTCACATGCACGATTCAGTGACATTACATATGTTCGTCATGCTCAACCATCACCATTAACCATTCCCAAATTTTATGTTTACTTTTATTATATGTAGGAGGCTATTTCTCATATAACCCAATCAATTTTTTCCTTGTATTATCATTATAATTGCCAAATATTTATAGTACTGGTATACAGGACAACCTCCAAAAAGTTGGTGATCAGCTAAACACATACTTAATTCTCACGTAAAGATCAATATTATAAAATCAACTTAGCACACAAAGGCTGAGCTTGAATAAAGGAAGCATAGTTTTTGCTAGAAAGATATAGGAAATAAGAGATCCATCTCAAACTACCAAAAATGGAGTTACAGAGGCAACATTTTTTGAAACTTAAGAACCAAGGGAGGCAGTGGGTGCTGGGCAAAGAGAACATGACCAAAATCCTGGTTTTAGTTCTAGGACTGTGGCTGACTCTCTGTGGAACCTGGACAAACACTTTGCTACCCTGTGGCTCAGTTCCCTTATCTGTAATATGAAAACAAAACAAAACAAACCTGTTGATTCCAAAACAAACAAAAGTCAATTCCAACTCATAGCGACCCTATAGGACAGAGTAGAACTGCCGCATAGGGTTTCCAAGGAGCAGCTGGTGGATTTGAACTGCCAGCCTTCTGGTTAGCAGCCAAATGCTTAACCACTGCACCACCAGGGCCCCATCTGTAATGTGAGTGGGTAGTTACTTAAATTTTTTTCCAGTGTTAACATTTTAAATTCTAATTAGCTGAAGGGTTGACATGTGGAAGAGAGATTGAACATACAGTATTCTGTACAACCTCGTAGAGGAGGGCTACTGCTGTGGGTAGGAAGAACAAGAAATCACATTTGCATTCAGCCATTTGTTCAGCAAATATTTATGGTGCTCTTAGTGTATGCTGGGCATCATGCTGGGTTCTGGAAAACCAGTGTATGCAGAAACAAGCATGGTTACCGCCTTCATGGAGCTTAAAAATTTCAACCCAATAGGGGGGAACTCTTTCTTAAAAATTTGAGCTGTTCTATGGGATGGGTGGAGCCCTGGGGGCTCAGTGGCTAAGAGCTCGGCTGCTAATCAAAAGGTCAGAAGTTCGACTCCACTAGCCACTCCTTGGAAACCCTATGAAGCAGTTCTACTCTGTCCTATAGGGTCGCTACGAGTCGGAACCGACTCAGAGGCAATAGGTTTGGTTTTCAACAGGTATGGGATAGGTAGCCTCCCTTGAAAGGTACTGGTTTACCTAAGGTGGACGACCACTTGGTAGGAAGGCTTGAGAGGGAATTCCAGAATCAGATTGGGGTTTAGATTAAACTAGATGCCTTTTAGGCTTGGGATTCTAAGGTAAGGGAGAGTGAACAAACCTTGGGCCTAGGGTTGCAAGATTTAGCAAATAAAAACTCCAAACGCCCTGTTGAATTTTGAATTTCAGATAAACAACGAATAATTTTTCCATATCTGTATATCCTGAATATAGCACGGGATATACTTATGTTAAAAAATTATTTATCTGAAATTCAGATTTAAGTGGATGTCCTGTATTTTATCTGGCAACCCTGCTTGCATCATTTGACAGCAGTTGGACTTGCTTTCCTTTCCCCTTGTCCCTGTAGTGTCAGTACACGGCCTATCAAACCAAAAACAAAACACCGAAGCCAAGCTCCTTTTCGCTCCTACCACCAAGGACCACCTGCGTCTCTCCTCTCACCTCCAAGATGGCGACCTCCTGTCGGTTACGCAGGATCCTGAAGGCAAATGGGTGTCTAGGCCCAAAGCCCGGGGCCACCTCGCAACCGTGGAGGGCAACGGCATTCACGTGGGTCCGCAGGTCCGTGCGGTCCTTGTGGAAATACAGAGTGTTGCACTTCAGGCGGCACCAGCGTTCCTTCCAGCCCTGGTTTACCAGCACATTCAGATAGCCTGAAAGGGAGACCAGTGGCGTGACCTCCTGAGAGCCCAGCCTTGGGGAAACCCAGCTGTGGGGGATGCAAGTCGGTACATGGGTATACACTTCTGGGACAGAGGGCCTAGGATAACCCTGTGTCCTAGCTAGAACGAAGGCCTTCTGGATCCCAGAGCAGCTCCCTCCCGCCTGCCTGTGACCTCAGGCATCCTTCTTTCTGAGTTTCAGTTTCCTATCTGTAAATTGGCGAAACCCTGGTGGTGTAGTGGTTAAGAGCTACAGCTACTAACCAAAAGGTTGGTAGTTTGAATCTACCAGGTGCTCCTTGGAAACTCTATGCAGCAGTTCTACTGTCTTATAGGGTCACTATGAGTCAGAATTTATTAAATGGCAATTTTTTTTTTTTTTTTTTAATCTGTGAGTTAGAGTTCCTGGGTGGTGCACATGGTTAACGTGCTTGGCTGCTAACCAAAAGGTTGGCGGTTCGAGTCTACCCGGATGTGACTGGAAGGAAAGGCCTGGCAACCTACTTCCAGAAAATGAGCCATTGAAAACCCTATGGAGCACAGTTCTACTCTGACACACGAGGCCGCCATGGGTCGGAGTCGACTTGAGGACAACTGGTTATCTGTGTACTGGGACTGTTTATCACATTGTACATCGCTGCACAGCTCTTGGACCTTATCAAGCTTGATGGAAAGGGCAGAAATTCCCATATTTGATTCATAGAAGACACGGCTATCCCTCCTGCCTTTCTTCTTTCCACCAGCTAAGTATAAAATTACCAAAAGACAGAAAATAATGGATGAAGCTGCCACCTAGTGGCAGTGTGTCTGAACAAAAACGTTCAGCAAAGACACAGAATTCTAAAGATAGCAAGGCACAGGCTACGCAGCCGATGATGGCAGGGTTTAGGATTCCTTCTTAACATTTTAGATTTAAATGTATTTCTTCCCTCACATGCTCTGAAGCACTATCCACTAACTGCAAAATGTTTCCTTTTAGCCATGTGCTTTTATAGTATTTTTTCAGAGTAAGTAGAATATTACTGTGGATCCAAAATATGTATTTTCTCCTGGATTCCAGTATATGGAACACTGTATTTACATGAACAAAATAATATGTCTTCCCCTCTAAGCCACTTTTAACTCACATTTAATACATTTTTATAATAGAGAGTATTTAAATATTTTTATCCAAAAAATTTCCTTATAAGACTGGGTTGCAACTTACACATGTGGCATGTTATATGGTGGAAAATATGATCCTCCTCTCTCATCATGGTGAAGCCCTGGTGGCGCAGTGGTTATGTACTACGGTTGTTAACCAAAAGGTCAGCAGTTTGAATCCACCATGCGCTCCTTGGAAACCCTACGGGCAGTTCTACTCTGTCCTATAGGGTTGCTATCAGTCAGAATTGAATAGACAGCAATGGGTTGTTTTGTTTTCTTGTCATAGTGAAGGAAACTGAGGCCCAGAGATGGGCAGTGATTTGTACTAAGTTCCACAAGGAGCAGAGAAATATGGGGATCAGTTGGCATTTCTTTCTGCTGAGCGTCAGGGCCTCATGGGCAAGAATGGTAGGAGAGCGAGAAGAGTGGATGGGGTGGGGTTTAGTCACCCAGTAGGCTGGGATCCTCTCCCGTCCTTGGGCGTGAGATGGACGAGGCAGGGAGGATCTCCTGGCCTCAGCCCCAGGAGCCGGTACTGACAGAGCTTGGAATGCCCCTCCTCCCCATGCCCCATACCCACCACAGCATGGAACCTCCTCCTCAGTGGAGGAGGTCTGCAGGTCATCGGCCAGCGTCTTCTTCTTGGAGAAGCTGATGATGCGGGTGATCTTGCGGCCCGCAGCCCTGCTCACTGAGCCCTTCAGCTCTGCCAGGCTGCTCTTCTTCCCTTTGCCTGTTGCCATGAAGATGGGTCAGGGGAGGGGAGGGAGCCTCAAGCTCCAGCTGCACCCACCCCTAGCCTTCCTGGTGGCCCTTTCACCCTGCACAGAGGGCCTGGCCTGCAGCTCCAGGTACAGATGGGACAGGTTCCTTTACCCAGGTCTGCAGAGGGGTCAGGATCTACTCTACCGCTGTGTGCCCCTCCCAGCTCTGGGCCCCCAGAGGCTCCTACCTTGGTCATAGGCCTCCCGGCGGCCAAGGGTAGAACAGTTGTCGCCCATGCCCAGGCTGTCGGAGTCTGAGGTCTGCTTCTCTTGGGACAGCCTCTGGGGAGGGACACAGATACCCCCACATCAGAGGGCACACTCAGAAGCAACCCTTTGTTGGTTCAAACCCACCCCATGATGATTAGTTAACAAACATTCACCAGCAACTATCATGTGCCTGGGACAGTACCAGGTATTGGGAAGACAATGATGGCTTAGACATGGTTGTGTCCTCGTGGTCTATTTTGGGGGTGAAGCAATTAATTATAACACATTAAGATAAATGCCCTTGGAGTTTGGACTGTATTTGATAGGTGACAGGAAGCTGAGAAGGTAAATAGGTTAGTAATGTAATCTCACTGGATTTAGGAAGTTCCTTCCAGTGGCATCGTGAGGGATGGACAAGAGTGGGAAAGACTGCAAGCAAAAGAGCCACTTAAGAGAGTGTCATCCTGGTCAAGATGAGACTTGATATGGGGACGAACCAAGACGGCAATGAGGATGGGGAAAGGAGGTGAGTTGGCAGACATTTTCAAGACAGCCATGACAAGACGTGGTGACCAACAAAAGTGAGTGGTGATGAGGGAAGAGTCCATTAAGATTCTAGCTTGGATGAGAGGGTAGTCAACACCCACCTCCCTGGTAAATGAATTCACTGCCAGCCAATATTATTTTTACTCATGCTGACTCTGGACCAATCATTCATTCATTCACTCATTCTCTATTAATTAAGTGCCTACTAGGTACTAGGTACTATGTGGGGGAGCCCTGGGCATGGGCATTCATTCACTCATGCATTCGTTAACTCAGCAGACATTTATTGAGCACCCATGGTTGTCCCAGCTCTGTGCTGGGCGCTGGCTCTCACAGCTTGTCCTACAGTCACCAGTGGCTGCTTGATTTCATCACATGACTATGGGCTCCTCCGGGGCACATCCTGCACTGAGTTACCTCTGTCTGACCCAGAGGAGACCTGGTGGAGACAGATATACCTTGTCCAGGTCCAGCTTGCACAGGAGAATTGGGGACCTGGGGACCTCCATGCCCTCAGCTGCTCCGACGGGCTTGCTCACCTCTCGGATGACCTGTGGAGAGCATACACAGCTGTGGACAGGTGGGCAGGGCAGTTGTGGAGGCAGAGAGGGGGAATGGGGCTGTGTGGTCAGGGCCATCAAGCAGCAGGGGTTGGGGCTCCTGGGGAGAAGAGAAGGGTGGACATGGCTGCTTGCCACTTGCTTGTGGCCTGTCAGGGTGTGAAAGGCTTTCTCCTGTATCTGTCTCTTGGATTGAAAAAGACATGGGACTGGGAAGCAAGAGGCTTGGTTTCAAGACCTGGATCTACTGCTAATTACTTGTGTGGCTTTGGGAAAACCACTTGCCTGTGCTGAGCCTAGGTTTCCACATCTGTAACATGGGCACAATACTGGTCCTCTGCTAACCTCCTGGTGTTATCTGAGGACCACTGAGATCACGGACAGGCGAGGAACTGTGACCCATAAAGCCTGCACATGGTGTGGGACTTGTCTCTGCCACCTTGTCGGACCTTTACGGCAACGCTATGTGGTGGCTGGGGCTAGCACCTCCATTTCAGTGATGTGACAACTGAGACCCAAGGGTGTTACTCACTCACCCAAGGCCAAACAGCAATAAGCATCCGGATCATGAAACAATAACAGCCACTATTATTGCTCACCTACTAGTTGGCTTTACATGGATTTTCCCATTTTTATCCCCAGAGCAGCCTTGTAGGGGTAGGGATGACTGTTATCCCCAATTTACAGATAAGGATGCTGAGGCAGAGAGGTGAAGCCAGCTGTCAGTGGTAGCAGAGCCTGAAACCAAAGCTGCCTGCTCTTAACCTCTGGGCTAATGGCCTCCCAGATGGGGATGTCATGGCAGGTCCCTAACTCAGGTCCGATGTACCTTCTGACCCATCAGCCCTGTGAGGGCAGAGGCTCCCCCAGCAAGCAGGTTCTCTCCCTGTGTTCCTCTCCTGAGACAAAGGCAGTAATGAGAAACACTAAACACTCTGATGGGAGAGCCAGTTATCACAGGAAGGAAGGGAGGAAGGGGAGGGAGGGAGGGGCTTGGCTTCTTTGTTCCAGCAGGAAAATTAGAGGAGGAGAAAAAAAGCATCAGAGAGAAAATGAGGCTGAGTGCAGGGAGGAGACTCTGCTGCGAGGGACTGGGCATCACCATCGTTGTAACAGTAATCACTGACAATTATCAAACACTTACTGCCTGGCAGGCACTAGGTTAAGTGCTCTCTATAATCCTTACAAGATCCATTTTATGGATGAGCAAACAGAGGCATGGAGAAGCTAAGTCATTTGCAGAAGATCACACAGTTAGTGACATTTAAACCTGAACCCAATTCTGTGTGCCACCGGGTCCTCCCTCACCTTTACTATGCCACCCTGCCTTCACAGTTCTGAGTCACATGGAAGGGGGGCCAGGGTGGTGGTATAGTTCATAGTCTTTGGGGTAGGTTTATTTGTTAGCTTCTAATCCTGGCTCCAACCACTTTGTTAAGTGACATCTGGAAAACCACCTCAGTTCTCTATGCCTCAGTTTCCTCATTGGTAAAATGGGAAAAATAATAGTCCCATTGTGAAGAGTAAACGAGGCCATGCATGTAAAGGTCTTACTAAAGTGCATGGTACACAGTAAGTGCTCAATATATGATAATTCTAATTGTTCGTGTAGCTCACAGATGCAGACACTGGACCACAGGCAGAAGTTACAAGGATGCACATTTTTTCTTTTCTTCCTTTTTAAGGGTTAGCCTATCTAATGATAGAATCAGTTTTCTCCCAGATAGTAAGCTGTAAAGCCCACAGAAGGGAGGTTAGGAAGGTGATTCAAATAACTGGAAGGAACATAAGGCTTCCAGGATGAGGTCTGTCTCTGGGAGCTATCCAGGGCCTGTTTCCACACGTTAAGTCCTAGCCATGTGCAAAGACTTGGGCTCAGGCCACTGACTCCCTCTCCCTTGAGCAAGGCCTGGTTTTCTGGGAACAGGAGGGAACTCCACTGAAGGCTAGGCCTGGGGAGGAGAGGCAGCAAGGGAGGGCAGGAAGGGGGGAGAGGGCACCAGCCCCACGTACCTTCAGCCACTCCTCAGCCTGCTCTCGGCTCTGCAGTGCCAGCACCAGGGCCTCAGCGCCCCCCTGGGAGAAGCGCAGCTCATGCCTCTTGTGTCTGCTGTCCTTGGGCACATAGATGACACTGCAGGCATCCAGGGCCAGCCTCAGATGTGGCTGTCGATCCTTGGAGCTTTTGTAACACTGGACAGAGAGAGAAGGGGTCAGGGCCTCCTGGAGGGGAAGGCAGGGGAGATAGAGGAGGGAGACACCCTCACACAAAGGTTCAAGGGAAGCTTGATCTACCCCATCCAATCCAACTGTGAGCACTTTGTGAGGAACAGTGAAGGAGCTGGGGCTACTCATCCCAGAGAACAGAAGCCTGGGAGGGGCATCTGGGTACCCTTCAGATCTCAAGGGCTATGGAGGGGCCTTGGAGGGCACAACTACCCAATTAGGAAGAGGTAGCTTCTAGCACAATACTGGAAGACCACTCTAGCCCAAAGAACTGGAGAAGAAATGAGTTGGCCTGGGGGGAAGCGAGCTCCATGCTATTAGAAGGCTACATAGCAGGGACATAAGACAGAGAATCCTAGCAGAGATGGAGGGTTGCGCTTGGGAAGTCGATCATTTTCCAATAATGTTTCTCACATCCCAGTTCTTATGATAAGGCTAGCATTGCCTTGATACCAAAACCTGACAATGATATTACTAGAAAAGAAAATTATAAGCTAATCTCTCTCATAGAATCTAGACATATACAAAAAGCATGCTTCCTCAAGACCAGACCAGCTGTTGTTAAGTCAACTCTGACTCATGCTGACCCCATCTGTGTCAGAGTAGAACTGTGTTGCATAGGGTTTTCACGGCTGATTTTTCAGAAGTAGATCATCAAGCCTTTCTTCTGAGGCACCTCTGGGTGGACTCGAACCTCCAACCTTTCAGTTAGCAGCTGAGCACATTAACCATTCCCACCAAGACCAAATAGGGTTTATTTCAGGAATGCAAGGATGATTTAACTTTCAAAAATCAATCCTATAATTCACCGTATTGACAGAATAAAGGAGGAAAACCAGACAATCATCTCAATGGAGGCAGAAAAAATATTTGCTAAAATTCAATACCCATCTGTGACAAGAACTCTTAGCAAATGAGAACTAGAGGGGGAACATCCTCAATGTGATAATACAGAGTATCTACAAACTACCCATAGCAAACATCAGCCCTAATGGTGAATTACTAAAATGGTCCCTCCAAGACCTGGACAGAGATGAGGATGCTCGCTCTTACCACTTCTAGTCTACACTGTGCTGGCGGTGCTAGCCACTGTTATACGTCAAGAAAAAAAATAGAAGACATAAGGAGTAGAAAGAAGTAATCATGACCCTTGGGCTAATGCTGGCCTATAGTGAGCCTTTTGACTGCTCCAGGACGAGAAGGGTCCTGTTTCATATGTACGTATATGTTGGTATATAAAGGCTCCTCAATAATTTTTTTGGGAAGCACTGTTTTTTTTTTTTTTTTCTGAAATGATGTCCATCTTCCTACTTTGGAATTCAAGGTGCATTTTCTTGTAGGGAATATTAGTGATAAGAGATGGTAGATTAAACAAAAAACTTTAAAAAACCAGTACTGTACGGGTTCAGTTTTATAAAATATAGATGTATGGAAATGAGAGTGGACACATGGTATCTCTTGGCCACTATGGTTATGAATGGCTTTTATAGTTTTTTTTTTTTTTACCAGTTTTATAAATAAGCATATTCACTTGCATACTGAAAAGCAATAAAACTTGTTTTAAAGTGTTAAAAAAAATCTCTGGCGAAACAAAAACCTGGTTAAGCCTATGTCAGGCCTTCAAGTCTTTTTTTGGAGTTTGGTTCTAGCAGAAGAGCACAGATTTCAGAAGCACTGGGCTTTGCACCTCTGGGCAGAAAGCAGGCTCAGGCATATCCGGTGCAGACACCATGTACACACGTGAGCAGAGACATACACATGTAGGAGCCCCAGGGAAGCCGACAGGCACACGTCCATCCCACCACTCACCAGAAGCTGGTCCTCCCTGATGACGGTCAGCTGCTTGGCCCACTGCCCGAAGCGCTTTTTCCGAAGCAGGAAGGCACATATCCTGCAGTCTCTCACCAGGTGCATGGAGGCCTCCTCTGAGGGCCACTGGTGCATGGGCTGCTGCCCCTTCCCTTCCTCTTCCTCCTCATCGTAGGACTCATAGGAGCTGCTCATGGCGTCGGAGTCATTGTCTGGAGGTGCCGTGGGAACAGGACACATCACTTGTGCCATCCCCAGAGACGGACCTTCTTACCCCTCCCCAGACATTCCTTCTCTGGGACCCAGGGACCTTGAAGGGGTGGCCGTCAGGCGTAAGCATGGTCATGACTAAACCCCCTACACTCTCGCTCTGTTTTACATATTTACCACTTGCTTCGTGAGCTTGGTGACTTCATGCCTTGGAGCTTCAGTTTCCTTGTCAGTAAAATGGTCATAATAACTAATAGTACCTACTTTACCGGGCTACTGAAGATCAATACATGTAGAGTGTTTAGCAAAGTGTCTGACACCTAGTAAGTGCTCCATGAATATCAGCTACTGACTGTCATTGCAATCATCACTCACCCCTTCCGATTCATTGCCTCAAATGATTCTCACAGCAATCCAGAAAATCCCCATTTTATAGATAAGGAGACTTGAGGCTCCAACAGAACAAATGATTCGCCTAAGATCAGTTACTAAGAGCCAAGGGAAGAGCTGGATCCTGGGTCCTGACTCCCAGTCCAGTGCCCTTTCCACTGGACCCTGGGGTCACTGAGAACAGCTTTTGGGCCTCTGTGGTGACCATGGTCTGGGTCAGGGGGAGTGCGCATGTTCATGCCAATCGTCGGGTCAAGCCCTGCTCTTTGCGAGGACGGACCTGTTTGAACGCCCAGTACTCACAGGAGTTCTTCAGCTCCCCATTCATCCTGGTCGCGGGGTAGCTGTTGTCTGCATCCTCATAGTAGCCATCCACTATCGAGTGGGCCGGGCTGCAGCTGTCTGTGGGGTGGGCAGAAAGAGCCTGCACTTGGGAAGAATGCAGGCAGACTCCAGGGGCCAGGGCTGGGGGAGACCCTGGCACCCTGCCCCTCCTCAAGGAAGAGAGTGGGACCCCCCTGCAGCTCCCTGGCCAGAGTGCGGGGCCTCCTCTCTCGGCATCTCATCTGCTTTAGCTCCCCACACGCCCTCTGTGTCCCTGTCACCAGTAGCTGCATCCAGGCCTGGGTTCATGCTATTCCCTGTCCCTGCTTATCCTCTACCAGAGAGCTCCTAGCCATCCTTCAAGAACCAGCTCAAAGATCTTTCATCTGACCTTCCCAGGCAGAGTGGTCAGCCCTTCCTCAATGAACCCAGAGAATGCGAGTGGTCTTTGCTACAGCTCTCATCCCTATACTGCGGGGTGTGGTTTACCAGCTGCCTGGGCTTAGCACTCACTCACTCACTCACTCACTCATGCACTCACTCACTCACTCATTCACTCACTCACTTATTCACTCCCTCCTTCCCTCCCTGCTCTGCCTTTGCCTCATCTTCCACTTCAGTCATTCCGCTCACTTCCTAGTACCTCCCTCCTTTTGTCAAAGAGGATCTCCTTCTAAATCCCTAGGACCACAAAGGAAAAACAGGACTAGAGGAGTTAATAATGATGCACATAAATAGAGAATACAACAGCTACCTCCACTGAATTTCCACAACACATTCCTATTTGTAGCTGGGAAGCAGTATAGTACAGCGGTTAGTGGAACAGCTCAGAGCTGATTTCTGCGTCAGAATTATCTAGGGGTCATTTTAAAATGCAGATCCCTGATTCACTGGGGTGGGCTGGGCTGAGGAATTTGTATGAAAAAACCAATAGAAAATTTCTAAACATATATAAAAATAGAAAATATATTGAACTCCAAGGAATTGGAATTTTTTTCTTTTAAACAAACAAGGTTATTCTGATACAGGCAGACCCTAGAACACACTTTGAAGTTCAGTGGGTTAAGGGCATGTGCTTTGGGGTTGATCAGATTGGTTCAAATCCTATCTCTGCCATTTAGAGAGTGACCTTGGGGAAAAATGTTCCTCCTCATTTCACTCTTCACCTGTAAAGCGTGATGAAGAGTTTCCACCTTGCATGAAGTGCCATTATGCATAGAAACTCTCAGCACAATGGCGGGCACACAGAATGCACTAGACAAATGTGAGCTATTATTATTGTCTTCTTTGATTCCTACAATGCAGGGAGGTGGGTATCAGCCCACTTTATAGACAAAGAAACCAAGGCTACACACAGTTTGCTAGTGACAGAGCCTGGGTCAGAACTGTGGGTGCCAACTTTCAGTATGGGTTCTTCAGAGCTCTGCTCTGGGCTCCCAGTCCCTCCCGTTCATCTGTTTCCTGAGGACAGCAGTACTGAATTTCCCAGCAACTAGGACACACTGTTCAATCCCCCAAGTGACGCTCAAAGCCTGCCTTTTGCAGCAAGCACACTGAGGCCTCAGATGCTCAGGACATCCCCTGTGAGGTGGACTGGGGACGTCAGGGCCAGAGAAGGAGGTGGGACGGGGCAGAGGGGGGTGCTCTGGGAGAAAAGCACTCAGACACCTGGCAGGGCTGGACAATGTGTATGAGAGGAAGGATACTCCCTGACGGGCTTGGCACCCTCCCTGGACAAGCCCTTCCTGAGGCCCTCCCTTCCCTCCTGTCCCAGGAGCACAGCTGCTCCTGGGAGGCGGCTCCTCTGACGTCCTGGGAGGAGAACAAGCTCTGGGGGCAGGTGCAGGAGCATCATCCAGCCAAAGGGCTTGAACTAGAGATTCAGGGGCCAAGAAGCACTTGTCCCCTGTCCTTGAATGAACAAAATAAAATTGCCTGTTTCACGCCCCAACAGCTCTTTGCAATGACATAGAATTCAAGACTATCAAGGCTCAAGAGGGCCTCAGGTCACTTAGTCCAACTCCATCATTTAACTTTTTTTTAACTACTTTATTGATCATAAAAATAATATGCCACAATAGCCCAAAGGTGGAAACAACCTCAAGTATCAGTCAACAGATGAATGGATAAACAAAATACAGTATATCCACACAAAGGAATATTGTTTGGCCATAGAAAGGAATGAAGTACTGATACATGCTACAATGTGGATGAATCTTGAAAACATTATGTTAAATGAAAGAAGCCAGACACAAAAGGCCACATATTGTATGATTCCATCTATATGAAATGTTTAGAAGAGGCAAATTCATAGAGAGAAAAGCAGATTGGTTTCCAAGGGCTGGGGGAAGACGGAATGGGGAATGACTGTTTAATGGGAACAAGGTTTCCTCTTGGGGTGATGAAAATATTCTGGAACTAGAAAGTGGTGATGGTTGTACAATATTGTGAATGTAGTAAATGCCGTTGAATTGTACACTTTAAAGTGGTGAATTTAAGTATATTTTACCACAATAAAAAAATATATACCCATGGTAAAAAAATTCAAGCAATTCAGAAGCACATGAATGGAAAAATCTGTCCTCTTCGCTCAGATTTCCACTTATTTCCCACAGGAAAATCCTGTTAATAGTTTCTGAGTATCCCAAAAAAGTTGTTAAAATGAATTCATGTGTGTGTACGTGTGTGTGTGTGTATACCAAATTTTAAAAAAATGGAATCATGTTATATGCCATATTTTGTACTTATTTTCAATGGATATATCTTGGAATTCACTTCTGATCAGGTACCATCACACAAAGATTATCTTATACAAATTTACTACACATGCTTGGTCATCCAAAAACCATAATACAGGTTTTTTGTATGTAATGTTGGGCCCCTAAACCTAAGCCAGTGACTTCATCTGATGCTCAACCAAAGGAACAGCCAGCCTCATTCCAACACTGGAGAAAACCAACTGAGGGAAGAGTCTAAGTCAAGGACTATCCTTGATGGCTGATTTAAGAGGTTTTCTAAGGCAACTTGTATTAGTGCCCTCTAAATTGTTTTCTTGGGCCTACCTATCAGTAAAAATCAAGATTTATATGTATATTTGTTATAAATTACACACACATATATAAATTAGGAGCCCTGGTGGCGCAGCAGTTAAGCACTTGGCTGCTAACCTAATGGTCAGTGGTTTGAACCCATCAGCAGCTCCGCAGGAGAAAGACCTGGTGATCTGCTTCCATAAAGATTACAACCTGGAAAACCCTATGGGGCAGTTCTACTCTGTCACATGGGGTTGCTATGAGTTGGAATCGATAGTACCCAACACTATATATAAATTACTTACAAGTACTATGCTATTATTATAAATCCTATAAAACATTCACAAACATAGCGACAGCTTTAGTATTGGAACAATGTTGCAGTGGTCATCTGTGTACCTACACCCTAGAGCACTTCTCTGAGTATAGCTAGTCCCTCCTCTTTTTTTCTTTTTTTAAGGGTAGAGGAATAGAAGTCCAGAGAGGGGAAGTGGGTAGGCCAAGGCCATACAGAACTGGGACTAGAATCCAAGTCCCTGACCCCCAGGGACACACCCTCTGGCCCACCAAGGCCATCCCTAAAGAGGCCAGGTACTCAGGATGGCTTCTCCTCAGAAAGTGGTGACGAGGCTGGGCAGGTACCAGCCTGGGAGTGCCAGCACAACACAAAGCAGCTCAGAGTTGGCTTTTCAGGAGAGGTGTGTGGCTGCCTCCTTCTCCTCCCCAAGCCCTCCCAGGGGGCCAGAACTCACTGTGGGAGCTGATGTACTCAGGGCACTTGCCGGGTCCCAGGGGAAGGGCCTCCTCATAGTAGTCCTCGGGTGGAGGCTTGTTGGGGAGTGGTGGAGGCAGGTCAGCTGCCTGGAGAAGAACAGAGGAAATGTGTGAGACCTAGGAGGCAAGGAGAGCAGAGCCAAGGGAAGCAGGGAGAGAGGGAGGGAAGGAGGCACGGAAGAGAGAGGCAGGAGCTCCTAGAAGCAGGATCCAGTCTGAATGTGAAGCCATAGCTGCCCACAGAGTCACAGAATGGCAGAATAGGGAAAACTTGAGAATTTCTTTGGTCTTGGGCTTCTTACCCACATTGGTTAAGCATCAGGGCTCCTCTGTAATGTCTAAAAGTTTCATGGACTGCCACAGAGTAGTAGTTATACTTTCGATTGAGCACACAGAATTATTGAAGGCTACTGTGAAGGCTGCAGTACTTTTAAGCACATGTGTGTTCTGTTAATCACAACATCTACATTCCTTTGAGTAACAATAGGACAAGTAAGTGAGGCACCTTATTTAGTGAAGCAGTATTGCCTAGTGGCTAAGAGCTTAGGCTCTAGGGCCAGGGGAGCCCCTGCTTTACAGCTAAGTTTACTAGTTAACTTACTATCTGTGGGACGCTGAGCATGTCACTTATCCTCCCTGAGCCTCAGTTTACTTATCTGTAAAGTGGGGATAATAACACTGTCAACCTTATCCAGTTGCTATGAACGTGTAAAACACACAGTGAGTGGTCTATAATTGGTACCACTGATGATGGTGATGATGATAGTGAATTATTTGGCCAATGGACATGCTTGATGGATTAGGGACCCCTTGCTCTAATTCCATGATCCCAAGGTTGGGAACCCTAGATCTGGTTCAATCCTCATTTTACAGATAAAACTCTCAGATTCAGAGAGGGGATGCAATTTGCCCAAGGCCACACAGCAAAATTGGGGAGAGCAGAGGCCACGTAACTCCTGGTCCAGAGCTTTCGTCATCAGCCCACCTATATTACCGCAATCAGAAGTTGGGGGTGGTGATGTCCTTTGGGCCTGAGGGGACAGATCAGTTCCCCTCATTATCTCTGCTCAGCACAGGCACAGTGAGCATGTCACAGGCCACTGAAATGTTCACCCATTGCTGTTTCTGCCCTTGAACTCCCACCTGGAGTGTCCCCAGTGTTAAGGGGGCAGTGTTTCTTTCCTCCCTGTTGCAGATGGAATTGTATCCCCCCAAACATGTTGCGATCCTAACCCCTATACCTATGAATATAATCCTATTTGGAAACAGGGTTTTGTGTGTTATGGTAATGAGGCCGTATTGTGTAGGATGGGTCCTAAACCTAATCACTCCTGAGTTATAAAAAAAGCACATTAGACACGGGAACAAGCACATCCTGGGGAAGACAGATGCCGGGAGAGGATCCTCTATAAGCCAAGGAGCCAAGGAACTGCCGGCTATTGAGAAGGAAGGAATTGACCCAGGCGAGCCCTGATTTGGACTTAATTTCCAGAACTGTGAGAAACTAAATTTCTGTTCTTTAAAGCCACCCACCTGTATATTGGTGTTATAGCAGCACTAGGAGACTAAGACGCCCCTCCAGAGGGACTGAGAGCCCATGGGCGTGGGACCTCAGGTCAAGACTCACATTCCTCAGAGCTGGGCTCTTGGCTGGCTCAGGGCTGGCTGCTTTGCTGGGCTCGCCATCGTCCTCTGGCATGTCCCGAAGGTCACTCAGGTCACAGTCTATGGAGGGTCAAACCGTGAGGCAGAGAAAAACAAGGATGAGCATGGCAGAGTGGAAAGGGGGCTGGATTTGGGGCAAGAGGCCTATGTGCGAGGTCGGGTCCACCACCTTTGCTCGCAACAGGTAACCCTGAGCAGTGACTTACTTGCTCTGAGACTGTTTCCTCATCTGTAAACTGGCTGCCATAAGCCCTGCCTCGCCCATTGCCCAGGGTTATCAAGAAGATCATATAAGATAAGATTTGTTACGGTGCTGTGAAAATTTTCAAGAGTTAGTCTACAGAAGCACGTCTTCCCTAGTCTCTCCATCCCAAAAGCTCTCTCACCCAGATCCAAAGTTTTCTCCCTGTGTTGAATAGTGCTGTCTTCCCTTGGGAAAGAGCCAGTAAAACCAGTTGCCATCAAGTCAAATCCAACTCTTGGCAAACTTGTGTGTCACAGTAGATCTATAGGGTTTTCAATGGCTAATTTGTCAGAAGGAGATCATCAGGCCTTTCTTCCAAGGTGCCTCTGGGTAGACTCGAACCTCCAACCTTTCAGGTAGCAGCCAAGTGTGTTAACAGTTTGCACCACATGCATCCCAGCAGGCTTGCTCCCAAACAGCTGTCATGAGCCCCTGGAGGCCAGTGTTCCAGGCAATCACTATCAATGGCTGGAAGTGGCAGGTGGCAAGGTAATATGCTTATACGCTATACCTTCTTTGGGCCGCACTTTCATCCCTGCCTCTCCTCAAATCTCTGGGATGATTTCCTATAACCACGTAGATTCTGACTAGACTTTCAGAGCTGCAAGGCCCAGAGAGGGATGGACTTGCCCCAAGTCACTCAATGAGGTAATGGTAAAGCCAGCCCAGAATGCAGGTATTTTCCAGCCCAATTCAGGGACCCTTCCACAGATGGGGGTGGTGGACATGCACGGGTGGGAAGAGGGGCGGCTTTGTATCTGAGGTCGGGAGAGGGTGGCTTACCAAATTCCTCAAAGAGAGATTCCACAAAGCTGGGCCCAGAGTGGAGGTCAGCTGTGTTCACGTACAGGTAGGAGACTTCTTTTGCTGTGAGGGAGGAGAAGAACCCACCAGCTGTGAGGAGGGAAGGGACCCGTGGCTGCAAATGCTGAGGAAGGGCTAGGCTCCCCCCACCCTACTGAGACGTCTGTCTCACACAGCACACAGCACGCAGTGTGCAAAGAATGTTCACATCCTAAGTTATTGTTTTTCATTTTTAAATTTTTACTGAGGGTCTCTTTCTTTAAATAAAAGGACGTCCAGAAACCCAGACTATAAAACAGATGATAGGGGCTGCTCTGGGGACGGCCAGGCTGAGAGAACAGATGGAAAACCACTGCCCCTTTCATCCTTCTAACAGCCCTGTGAGGGCAGCGGTGACATCAACTTGCTTTGTCGCTGGTAAGAGTGGGGCTTAGAGTCACCCAGTGGTGACTTCCTGCCATATTGCTCGGACTCCTCGAACACTCAGGACATGTGTCCAGCTCATGAGAGTTTACTGAGATCCTCTGTTAACCCGGTTAACTTGGGGTTTAGATGAGGAGGGCTTGCTGCTGAGAGACAGTGAAGGGCAGAGAAGATGTGGGCAAGTGGAGGGAGGGGCGTGGATAAAGACAGTGGGGAAGCACACGAGAGTGTGAGGTGTGTGACGGTGTGGTGTGTGTGTGAGAGTGTACAGTGTGTGTAGGAGTATGTGATGTGTTTGTGTGTGTACGGTGTGTTGTATGTGAGCGTGTGGTGTGTGTAATATATATGCACTTGTGTAGTATGTTGTGAATGTGAATGTGTGTGATGTGTGTGGGAGTGTGTAATAATGCACTTGTGTATAGTGTGTTGTGTGAACGTGTGTGATGTGTGTGTTATATGCACTTGTGTAGTGTGAGTGTGAATGTGTGTGATGTGTGTAGGAGTGTTATATGCACTTGTGTTGTGAGTGTGAATGTGTATGATGTGTGTAGAAGTGTGTAATATATATGCACTTGTGTATAGTGTGTCAAGTGTGTTGAATGTGAGTGTGTTGTATATGTGCGTGCTATGTAAGCACGTGTGGGGTGTGTATTTATTATGTGTGTGTACTATGTATATGAGGTATATGTGAATGTATATTGTGTGTGTGGTGTATGTCATGTGTGGTGTTTATGTGAGTGTGTGGTAAGTGTAGTGTGTGTGTGAATGTGTAGAGGGCTGGAGACAGAGGAGCACAGAGAGCCCAGCTAGGATTGTGGTGGGGAAGTAGGGTCTAAGTGGCTGAGGAATTTGGGGCCAGATCATGAAATGCGCTGAATGCCCTGCTACGAAGCTTAGATTTCCTCCAGCAGACAGGCCCTGGGACGCTCCTGAAGGTTCCTGAGAATGGCCTAGGGAGGCCTTGCTGTCCACGTACGTGGAACCCTGGGCAGAGTGCTGCTGGCTGACCTGGGAGGGGCTGCAGGCTCTGCAGGATGGAGGCCACAGCCATCTTCTTCTCCAGGGTGGTGTCGCTGAGGTACTCGTGGTCCAGGAGGCTGAGCAGCCCCGTGAGCTCCGGGAGCAGCTGCTCTAGCACTGGGGAGGAAGGCCAATGGAACATGGTCATGGCTCTGTGCCCAGGAGTCCTGGCCCCTCGCCCAACCTAGAGGACAAGGCAGCAAGGGCCAGAGGGCTGGGCGGGGTGCACAGGGAGAACCCGGAGGCCCTCACACAGCTGTCCCAGCGCTGACAACGCAGCCTCCCTGTGGAGGGCCCCGCTCAGTTAATCCCATGGTGTCCCTCCAGGCCTCTCTACTCTGCCTCAGACCTCATGCGGCCTTGGCCTGAGGACTGAACCTCCGTGGGCTCACCTAACAACTCTGAGCCCAGACAGCCTCCAGAAGAGGCACTTGGTTTCCCTCTGTCCCAGCCTGCCCTCGGCTTTGCAGGTCTAGAGGCTCTTTCTCATTGCAGCTCCAGACTCAGTGCAGGTCTCAGACCAGAGCTCCTGGCTGCCCAGGACACAGGCAGGAAGGGAGCCTTCCTGTCCCATCAGTTCATATGCTTCAATCTCTGGAACCTTCTGTTTCCGGTGCCTTGGCTGGAGCCAAGCTAAACATTAACCCTTCTCACCCCAGGCCAAAAACTCTCGTTGCCATTCTTTCTTTCTATGTTACACCAGTGCTTCTCAAACTTGAGTATATAGGAATTACCTAGGGGATCTTGTCAAAATGCAGGTTCTGATTCAAGAGGTTTGGGGTAGGACCTGAGATCCTGCATTTCTGACAAGCTCCCAGCTGATGCTGCTGGTCTGGGACCACAGTGAATTTCAAGATCCTAGAGGACAGAATCCTTTAAAGACTGAAGCATGCCAAGACCATGATGTCATTGATGTCTCCTGGTCCAGAACAGTAACTCGGGGCTTGGTTTGCCTTAGAGCTGAAGACCAGCTACATTACAGTAGTAATATTGTCCTGCTTTGCAACTCACCCATCACTTGTGCATAATAATAAAGGCTAAACTGTGTTGAAAAAGTCATTATGGGTTGTGCTAAGCCCTTTTATACTTACTGTCTCATTTAAATCTCATATGGAGCATTTAATTATCTCCCTTTATGGAGGATGAAACTAAGCTTCAGGGCAGTTAAATAACTTCTTCAGGGCCATACAGCTAGCAGAGCCTGGACTGAATCCAGGTTTTGTCACTCCATTCTTTTAATCAATGCGCTGTATTGCCTTGCAGTATTCTCTCTGATTCTACCAACAAGTTCCATGATCACCCCCCCGCACACACACGCAGCACACACACAAACACACTTGTTAGATAAGGAAACCAAGGCTCAGAATATTAAGGAACTTTCTCGAAGTTATGCAGAAGCGAGTAAAAGAGCTAGGACTTCAGCTCCAGACTCTTGACTCCCAACTGCAGTGCCTCTCCTCACCCTGGAGCCTCCTGGGGAACTGGGGAGACTGTGACTTGTAGCTGTGGGGACTGGATGTGTAAGAGGGGCTATTACATCGTGCAGAGAGAACTGGCTCTGGAGACAGATGGCCTGGGTTCAAATTCGGGCACCATCATTCATTAGCTGTGGGACCTTTGATAAGTTAGGTGACCTTCTGTGACTCAGTTTCCTCCTCTGCAAAGTGGGGATAAAAACCATACCTGCCTCATAGGGTTGCTGTAAGGATTAGTTATACCATGCATAAAAGGTGCCCTGCCCAGCACACAGTAAATGCTCACTACAAGTCAGCTACTACGCTGCCGTTGTAGTACTTACCACATGGCACTGTGCTGATCTGTGTGGGTGTCGTCTACCTCCCTCAGCAGGCTGCGGGGCTCAGTAAGTGTGGACTTCCTTAGTGTCTAGTCCAGTGCCTGCTCACTGTGTGTACTCTGCATGTGTTTGACGATAGAAGGAAGAACAGGAGACCACACCAGGACTTTCTTAAAATAGAAATCTTATGTGTAGATAGTGGCACTTGTTGGGAAAATGTAATGTTGCAGTCTTTCTGTGGCATTCCATTATCACCCCAAACTGGTTGAAAATGAGCAAAAGGCTGATACTGACAGCTACCACCTCATGCCACCAGCTGTCTGTCAGTTTGTCGTCCTGTGGTGGCTTGCGTGTTGCTGTGATGCTGGAAGCTACGCCACAAACATTTCAAATACCAGCAGGGTCACCTATGGTGGATAGGTTTCAGCAGAGCTTCCATACTAAGACAGACTAGGAAGAAATGCCTGGTAATCTACTTCTGAAAACAGCCAATGAAAACCCTAAGGATCACAACAAAATATTATTCAATATAGGCTGAAAGGCACTCAAAATACTCAGTGGTTGCCACAATGGACTCGAGCATACCAATGACCATCAACATGGCACAGGACAGGGCAAGGTTTCATTCTGTTGTGCGCGGTGTCACCAGGACTTGGAGTCGACTCGATGACCACTATCAACAACAGCCACCACCTCATGAGCACTCTCTACTGCCAGGCTCTGAGGTAGGGGCTTTCCATGCGATTTCTCCCTTAATTCCCACAGTGCATCTATGAGTAGGTCCTATTGAGAGAAGCTATGGGATGGTCACTCAGCTTGAAAGAGGTGGGGCCAGGTTTTATTCCAAGTCTGTCAGATTCCTGGAGCTGCTGAATCACACCACTCCAGGGGCAACTGCTCACATCATAGTCCAGTGAATGGTGCCTGGAGGTCCCACTGTCCCCAGGGTCTGAGAGTGAGCAGTTCCACATAAGCGAGGGTTCTGGGTGGTTGAAGTTTCCCTCTGAAGTAGGAGATCCTTTAAAATCATTTTAGCCTAATTTTAGCTGGTTTGAAGGAAATCTTTTCAAATGGAAGCACAAACCTTCCTGGTATCCTCAACAGAGACACTGAATGCCAGTTAATTCAATCCCAAAACATTTACTGAGCACTAATTATCTGCCAGGCTGGCCACTGAGGGGAGGAGGGATTAGAAAATGGATAAGACATTGTCCCAGTGGGTTTGCTCGTGCGTACTCTTGTTTTATTTCTCTCACACATAATTATTCACGAGGGAGACCATGGTAAGTGCTACAAGGGAGGCACCGCAGGGCAGCATGGGAGTTTTCTTGCGGCTGGCAGCCACAATTCATACGTGAAATCTGTGACACTGTTCTGCCATCACACAGGAATGTCAGGGCCATGGGGTGCGTAGGGCTGTCCATCCCTGTATTAGTGATTCTGAAACTTTTTGGTTTCGGGACTACTTTACAGTTTTTGAAAATTATTGAGGGCCCCAAAGAGCTTTGGTCTTACTTGGTTAAATATTAACTGTATTATCAATGAAAACTGAGAAAATTTTAGAACACAAGAATACACAAGCACACATCCTTCAGAGCTACTATGCCATCATACGTCACTTCTGGAAAACTCCACTGTATACCTGTGAGTGAAAACGGCATACAACATTTTTTTTTCCCGGTTGCCGTAATGTCATCTCTGACTCATGGCGACCCTACGTGTGTCAGTAGAACTACACTCCATAGGGTTTTCAATGGCTGATTTTTCAGAAGTAGATTGCCAGGACTTTCTTCTGAGGTGCCACTGGGTGGACTCAATCCTCCAACTTTTGGTTAGCAGATGAACTACTACGATGCTTCATAGTTTAACAATGACAGACAAATTGACCAATAGAACAGAATCGAAAACCCAGATGTAAACCCATCTACCTATGGCCACATGATCTTTGACAAAGGCCCAAAGTCCATTAAATGGGGAAAAGACAGTCTTTTTAACAAATGGTGCTGGCAAAACTGATGTCCATCTGCAAAAAAATGAAACAGGACTCATACCTCACATCATACATAAAAACTAATTCAAAATGGATCAAAGACCTAAACATAAAAGCAAAAAACTATAAAGATATGGAAGAAAAAGTAGGGTCAACACTAGGAGCCGTAACACACGGCATCAACAGAATACAAACCACAATTAACGATACACAAACACCAGAGACAAGCTAGATACATGGGATCTCCTAAAAATTAAACACTTCAGCTCATCAAAAGACTTCACCAAAAGAGTAATAAGAAAAGCTATAGATTGGGAAAAAAAAATTGGCTATGACATATCTGACAAAGATCTAATCTCTAAAATCTATAGGAAAATCCAACACCCCTACAATAAAAAGACAAACAACTCAATTAAAAAATGGGCAAAGAATATGAACAGACACTGCACCAAAGAAGACATTCAGGCGACTAACAGACACATGAGGAAATGCTCACAATCACTAGCCATTAGAGAAATGCAAATCAAAACTACAAGGAGATACCATCTCACCCTGACATTACTGGCACAAATCAAAAAAACAGAAAATAACAAATGTTGGAGAGGTTGCGGGGAGATTGGAACTCTTTTTCACTGCTGGTGGGAATGCAAAACGGTACAACCATTTTGGAAAACAATATGGCACCTCCTTAAAAAGCTAGAAATAGAAATACCATACGATCCAGCAACCCCACTCCTAGGAATATATCCTAGAGCAATAAGATCGATCACACGAATAGACATATGTACATCCATGTTCACTGCCGCATTATTCACAATAGCAAAAAGATGGACACAACCTAAGTGCCCATCAACAGATGAATGGATAAACTATGGTATTTACACACAATGGGATACTATGCAACGATAAAGAACAATGATGAATCTGTGAAACATCTAACAACGTGGATGAATCTGGAGGGCGTTATGCTGAGTGAAATAAGTCAATCACAAAAGGACAAATACTGTATAAGACCACTATTATAAAAACATATGAAAACGTTACCACACAGAAACAAGCAATCCTTGATGGTTACGAGGGAGAAGAGGGGTGGGGAGGGAAAAACACTAACTAAATAGTAGAGAAGTGGTAACTTTGGTGAAGGGTAAGACAGTACACAATACTGGAAAAGTCAGCGCAACTTGACCAAGGCAAAGTCAGAAGCTTCACAGACACATCCAAACTCCCTGAGAGACCAAGCTACTGGGCTGAGGGCTGGGGACCATGGTCTCGGGGGACATCTAGCTCAATTGGCATAACATAGTCTATAAAGAAAATGTTCTACATCCAACAGTGGTGAGTAGCGTCTGGGGTCTTAAAAGCCTGTGAGCAGCCATCTAAGATACATCTACTGGTCTCA